AACCATGCTGAAGTAAGTAAGTGTGGAAAAACAGTAAAAGTGTCCATCCACTTTAGCAATTCACGATGTTCCCGACCACCTTCTCCTAACATGCACTCCGAGGGCCTGCAGCAGTGCTCGAGAATGCATCTTGGAGTTCTTCCAGAAACTCTGAGTCAAAGAGCAATGTCTGCATTCACAAAGAAGCATTCACAGCTGTCAGAAGTTAAATGTCCATGAGACTCATAGTCCAGCTGCAGTCCTTCCAGCACACTGACAATATCTGTGGAAACTAGAATTTGATAACTAGTTTTCTTCCGTGGAAAAAAAATATCACAGAGGAATGATGAATCTTTGCCTGACCGATAAGAAATAATTATCCATTAACAGCACACGAAGCGTCATTGTCCCACATTACTCAGCCGGCAGCACTTTTGCAGCTAATTTTTGCTACCAGAGAAAATACTCTTACTGCAATAAACCGTCAGTGAACTTCTTGTAGGGAAACACCTGTAGACACCTGCTAGCAGCGGGTGCATAAGGTTTAGGATCATAGAAATTGCAGCATAAACCAAACCCTGCAAGGCAGCGTTGGGTCGAAATGAGTGTGCGAGAGCAGGCCTGAGTGAAGATATGCACACATGAACGGGTATTTTGTGTTTCCATTTCGACTTGATAAAAATCAATAAAACTGAATCTTTTACTTAAGTATGTTATATAGTTGAGTAGCGTAATAAATAGAAAAAGTAAGCTACATTTTCAAATAAGGTTTTCAATTTGGGATAATCTACCCTAATTTATTATCAGGTGTTTTTAGGAAAAATGATTACTATGCTGAAAATGTTTGGCCGTGTACTCTATGTCCATATGAAGATAACAGTCATTGAGACTTTGAATTACCTTTAAAACAAACAAACAAACGAACAAAAGTATATACCTATACACTTTTTCAAAATATCTGAAAATTCTAAATGAGATTATAAATCTCAGATGGAGGTAAGTGAGTTAATTCATTTCTAGGTAACTATTCAACTATATGGTAGAATGGAAAAACCCATTTGAAAATGTGTCAGTTTTTAATTGTTGAGTCACTTAGTGGATCAATAGTCCCTAAATACTAGAAAGATCTGGTTCTTAAAATCTAATCAATTATTGAAGATTTACTTCAAGGGAAATTTTTTTATCCCATCTAAAAGTAAAAACAATTACAAGCTTTTTAAAATACCAGTTTTTGAGTATGCTTTTGCAGTTGTGGGTCTGGGAAATAACGAAGGAAAATGGAAAGCTAGTCACATTCAATTTTTAAAGTGGCAGGGCCCTTGGATATCATGGAGTGCTACACCCTAATTTAAAGGACCCAGACAGTGTAAATGTTTTAACCAAAGTGCACCTCCAGTTATTGGAGAATTAGATAGTTCTCCCAATTTTCTGACCCTTTAGTCAGTGTCCCTTAGAAGGAACAAAAATGCATAGCTGAGATAACGTGATAATTAACTTATTCTGAAAAACACAGAATAAACATAAAACACTAACCACAGATTCCATGCTCCTTTGGCAGCTTTCAACATCATTTGCATAAGACCTTCATATACTGAATAGATGATCATAAAAAAAGCCAGCTTGGTTTATTGAAGAGCTTCATTATACAAGTGAGAAATAGGTAAGCTATTAAGTTGTGGTCTTACCATGTGTTCACTGACAGAAAAAAAATGTCAAGCCAATAAGTTGGTTAACTTTATGGGGATAAATAAAATTGCCCTGTGATTGACGTGCCCCACAATTCTGGTTACATGCACATTAATTTATTCATGTTAGTTAGATCATGCTTAGAATATCCTATTCCTCTTAAGAGGCTCATATCTGTACTTTCTGATATCAATTAATGCACTATAAGGACATTAGATTTTAGATCTTATTTTTTTGTATATGAATTTCATAACATTTTAACAGAATTAAAATGTAGAATGTTTCTCCAAATGGCGTTCATGATAGGTACTTTATATAAGGAGATTGAACAAAAATCTGAAGTGTATAGGTTTTTTTCCTTTCAAAACATTGTTAGGAAAAAATAGGTTTAAACTAAGGCATGTTTTATTGCATTTTTAATCCAATAATTCTTTATTAACCTATATATATTTACTGATTTCAAACACAGAAGTATGAGTCCCTTTTGATTGCATTGTTGCTTCCTACTATGTGAGATGGAGTTTTTCACAGTGCAAGGATTAAAATCAGGTATTTGGATAAACATTTCCTAGGATCTCAGTCCCATCTGTGCCTTTGATTTCTTTTTTTATCAAACATTTTTCATTGAGTTATAGTCATTTTACAATGTATGTCAAATTCCAGTGTAGAGCACAATTTTTCAGTTATAGATGAACATACATATATTCATTGTCACATTTTTTTTTGCTGTGAGCTACCACAAGATCTTGTATATATTTCCCTGTGCTATACAGTATAATCTTCTTTATCTATTCTACATATGCCTGTCAGTATCTACAAATTTTGAACTCCCAGTCTATCCCTTCCCATCCCCTACCCTTAGCAACCACAAGTTTGTATTCTATGTCTATGAGTCTGTTTCCATTTTGTATTTATGTTCTTTTTTTTTCAAAGATTCCACATATGAGCAATCTTATATGGTATTTTTCTTTCTCTTTCTGGCTTACTTCACTTAGAATGACATTCTCCAGGAACATCCACATTGCTGCAAATGGCATTATGTTGTCTTTTTTATGGCTGAGTAGTATTCCATTATATAAATATACCACTTCTTCTTTATCCAGTCATCTGTTGATGGACATTTAGGCTGTTTCCATGTCTTGGCTATTGTAAATAGTGATGCTATGAACATTGGGGTGCAGGTATCATCCTGAAGTAGGGTTCCTTCTGGATATATGCCAAGAGCAGGATTCCTGGGTCATATGGTAAGTCTATTCCTAGTCTTTTGAGGAATCTCCATACTGTTTTCCACAGTGGCTGCACCAAACTGCATTCCCACCAGCAATGTAGGAGAGTTCCCTTTTCTCCACAGCCTCTCCAGCATTTGTCATTTGTGGACTTTTGAGTGATGGCCATTCTGACTGGTGTGAGGTGATAACTCATTGTAGTTTTGATTTGCATTTCTCTGAGAATTAGTGATATTGAGCATTTTTTCATGTGCCTATTGATCATTTGTATGTCTTCCTTGGAAAATTGCTTGTTTTGGTCTTCTGCCTATTTTTGGATTAGGTTGCTTGTTTTTTCTTATTAAGTTGTATGAGCTGCTTATATATTCTGGAGATCAAGTCTTTGTCGGTTTCATTTGCAAAAATTTTTTCCCCTTTTCGTAGGTTGTCGTTTTGTTTTACTTACGGTTTCCTTTGCTGTGCAGAAACTTGTAAGTTTCATTAGGTCCCATTTGTTTATTCTTGCTTTTATTTCTATTGCTTGGGTAGACTGCCCTAGGAGAACATTTTTGAGATGTATGTG